CCCTCCTGTCAATATTTAATTCTTTCTTTATTTTTTCTTTCATTTATTATTTGTTTTATTATACACACCAGCTTGCAGAACTATTAATTTGGCTTAAAAGTGGGAGATTTTTAAAGAGAAGGCAGAAGCAAATAGTGGATGTAAAACAGATGAAACTTATTTGGTGCTTTTTGGCCTCATGGTGCAGTGGTTAAACAGCAGCCCAAACTCTGCTAATGACCCAGGTTCAATCCCATGTAGCTGGCTAGAGGTTGACTCAGCCTTCTATCCTTCAGAGGTTGGTAAACTGAGTTACCCAGTTTGCTGGATGAGGAGCAGTGTATAGCATACCTAATTAAATTGCAAGCCACCCAGAGAGTGCTTTAAGCACTATGGAGCTGTACATAAGCAGCACACTTTGCTTGTTGGTTTGATATTGCAGAATATTTTCCTGTGCCCTGTACATAGAACTGGGGAGGTAAGTGGAAGTTAATACTCTGCAGTGCGAATTAAAAGGCGATTGAGGCCAATTTAGCTGTAGCTCTGTGTTTCAGTGTAGACCAGCCTACTTCTACTCTCTTAACTACCCTATCTGGGAAACTTTACCCCACCTTCAATGAAGTGAAAGTGTAATCCAAACCAGCATGTGGGTGGCACAACGACAGGTAGAGGAACTGTTACAAATCATGTTATAAGTCATGAATGGTGCATGGACTGAGCAGGAGATGCCACCCTAACTGTACACGTTCAGTCCATGAGCCAACACTATTTCAAACCCTACTTTCTCTTACTGCTTCTGTCCGAGTTGACACCCTACACAAAATGAAACTGTGTTCAACCATTCTCTGAGATAGCTCAGAGTCCTCCAAGCAATCTCTCAGTTTGTATGCCCTGTTCACAGCTATCTTCCCTCCCACACACAAACCAATATAGTTTTGCTGCTGGGCTTTTTTCTGCCAAGCCAAGGATAAAACTACCTGGTTGCCATATGATTTTTTGTTCTACTGTTTAACTAGACATCTCCCCAGAGCACTGGATTGCTAAAATTCTTCTTTCTGCAGCTGCATGTGAGTGCATTACAATTTCTTACAGCTTTCAGGTGTAACAGGATCTCACAGCGGGCTGGAACTCACTTGGATTTTAGTCCTCAACAGATTTATTAGGGCCAGAATTTATCAGTAGAATATAGCATGAACTAATAAAAAATGATAATTCTTCTGAGCATGTAGAAAGCAGTTTTCTGTTGCCTATGGCTAGCCCAAATAATTTTCTCTAATTATAGAGAGAAAATGCCAGTGGGGAAAAAATTATAGGCAGCGCACATAGATGTTGTAAATCTTCATTCTGAAAATGAGAACTGAAATCGGTTAGACATCATTGAAATAAATAAATCTTCATACTCTCCAGATCAAATCAAAGGGATCTCAAATAGCCTGGTTTATATTTTGTGTCCAGAAGATATAGCTGAAATTTTCTTGCTAAGCTGGAATAGCAATATTCTGCTGTCCATGGAGACAAAGTGTGTGTCGTCGTTTTTTAGATGGGTAAATGGCACAATTAAAGAGAGAGAGAAAAGAAAAAACAATTGACTTAATAGATGCAGTGCCCATTCTGTCTTCCATGGACAGAATGGACAGAAACTTGCTCATCCCCCCTTCTCATGAAATAGTCCATTGCGTGAGCATTTGGATGGCTTCAAAGCTTGCACCAGGAGGTATTACTGAATGTCTCCTTGCACAAACTCTGAAACCACCCAACACTCTTGTAACAGACTGTTGTATGAGCCCAAGGAATGAGCTGGGATCTGTCTGACATCTCTGTGCAGACAATCATTAACTCCTGCAAAAGCCAGGAGAGAAAAAGGATGAAGTCTTGTGTTAACAATAGCTTCCTGTTTTGCTTGAATGAAGAAAACAAATGAATTGGGAACAATCTAGGACATTAAGCTGGGATTTAATACCTCTTTGCATCTCTTTGGAGAGAAAAATGGTACAGACATGAAAATAATAAATAAAAATAACTAAATAGATCCTGGCTTGTTCAGAAGCTATTAATCACAGTATCCAAATTCAGACAAACTGGAAAGCAACAAGACGGGCAATTTGGGGGGCCACATTGGACTCTCCAGAAGCCAACAAGGATCATGGTCTTACCAATCACTTGTGGCAAGTGCCAAATTCCACTTCCAAAATTTCCCTATTTCCTCCTGCATGTCTCATTCTTCCTTCATTTGATAGAATCATACAACTGCACCATTGGGAGTGGTACCAACAGCCATCTAGCTGACCACCCATGGAGAAGCAGGATATCCACAGCTAGAACAAACCTCACAGGTCCTATCCAGCATCTGTAAAATGTTATCATAAAGGGAAGTCTACCAGCTTCCAACATAATCTGTTCCACAGCATTTGGGGGCTCACTTAAAAGAGGAACTGTGCTTTGCTAAAAGGCTTGCTTATTCAATTCTAAACTTATTCGAAGGTATGATCATTTCAAATGTGAGCACTGAATTATTATATTATAGCTAGAGTTTGGAAACATACTTTTTGGAATTATTTCTTGGAATAATTTATTGGAATCACTCAGGGCATGCTGGGAGTAGTGGCTCAACAGAATACTGGATAGCTCAATGGTTTAGAGCCAGAGTTTGGAGTTCAATTCCCCACTGTTGCCTCCTAGACAAGGACAGGATTCAATTATCCATAGGGTCCCTTCCAGACCTACAGTTCTAAGATTATTATTATTAAAGTACCTTTTTCCAAGCTCTGACTACAACCCTTTGTTTCTTAAAGACCTTATGAAGAATAGCAAAGGCAAGTGCTCTGTTCCAGTTGACCTCAATACTCTCTTTCTGTGAAATAATGCCACTAACTAAAAGACAAACCAACCCCCCCCCAAAAAAAACTATAATTGTGATTGCACAGACAGGATGGTGAACTACGCATTTGCAACAAATAAGTTCTAATGATCAACAAGGGTGCTGGCTTACTTTTATGTTCAAAAGCATTTATCCTGAATTGTCTTGGTTGTGTTCTTTTTACTGTCCCCATAGGGCGGAAGTGATTCTGGGAAACATAATAAAGAAAAAAGGCTGGAGGTAAAGTCAAGATTTAAACATTCCATTCTTCTGTTTACCACTTTATGTTCATATTAGGATTGAGAATTCAGACCTATTCAACTAGATCAGGTCTCAGGGCACCCCTGAAGTCACAGGGAATTATGATGCTTCTCTGGTTCTCCAGGCAGGAAAACAGATCTCAAATCCAATTGTGCTGGAGAAGAAAGTGTAGGCTTTGTGTGTGAGGTGTCTATAATGCAGGAACGTGTCTCCACCCATTTCCAGCTGGCTTCTAGGCTCACTCACTTCGAGTGAAGGTGCTCGGATGTATTTGGTGCTTCCTTTCCATACCTTGCCTGCCTCACCTCTTTGTCCTCACAAGGACTTGCCCTCTGGTCTCAGATTCTCTGAAATCTCGGGGAAAGGGGGATTTTTAACCTGGCAACCCTGTGCAGCACAATTCTATCTCTTGAGCCTTTGCTCATCAAGAGTGTGCAAAGTTGGTCTCAGACCTAGGCCCAATACAAGGCTAGTGTTGAGGTCCTTCAAATTTTCCAACTACACAAAGGAACAGCTACTCAACTTCAGGCAACTTGTTCCTTGTTACATGGGAGAAACTAGTGTGAAAATGAGTGGCATGACAGGGACAGTATCAGGACCCATGGTCTTTTGCCCCAGTGTTTGGTCCTACTGATATCATTGTGGGAATTGCAGTGAGGTTGCCAATATGGAGGCAACAGGGGATGATATTTTATGGTTGGTGAAAAGTGACTTTTCCAAACTTTCCTATGTCTCACTCCCCTCACACACTCTGATAAAGTGACCAGTGGCACTGACGTGCCACTGAAGACACTGGGAAAAGCCTTCTCAACAGTTCAGTCCACTGCTTTTTGGTGTTGTATCTGGCCTGCCAAATTATTGATGAATTTATATTGAAAACAAAGCTCCTCTCTAGCTTTACATATACTGGTCACAGTAACAGCAACTCTGCCAAGCTCTGTAGAAATCGGTATCAGCAAATGTGCACATTTGATTCAACAGTTTCCTTTAAAAATGTTGGAGATTTTGGACTGCTTTATGAATACAGTACATGCAAAAAAAGGCCATTCTTGGAAGGATGCAGCTACTGAAAATGTTATTTGCTCCACAAAAACGATATTAAAAGTTGAATGTTTTCTTTTATTTTAGGAGGTCAAGTCTGGTCATTACAACAAAACTCTACTGGGGAGGAAAGTAAGTGTATTTTTAATAGCTGTGCTGTGAAAAAGAATTACACCTCTGTTTGTGCATATGTATCTACTCTAATATAAATATTAGTATACTTTTCTGGCTCTTCCTCTTCCACAAACTGTCGTGTCATTGATGCAGGTGTTTAACATGTGGATTGATGAAATCCCCAAGATAATTCATTTTCTTCCAAAGAGCAATCTCAAAGCTTTTGCTTTTGAAACCTGAGAGTAGAACCAAATGTTTTCCTGCCAAACACATTTCTTTCTTTCTTTCTTTCTTTCTTTCTTTCTTTCTTTCTTTCTTTCTTTCTTTCTTTCTTTCTTTCTTTCTTTATTTATTTTTTT